GCATTTTTGTGCACTGCGTTGTCCAGCCGAGCGTAAAGCGTGATTAATTCAATAGCCGCCATAGAGGAGGAGGCTAGCAGTGCTGCAACACCGAGCATGACCCACTTTCCCCATCAGATGTCATGAAAAATTCCCTCTCTGCATTCCCCTTCTCCAACTTCCTGCCTGAGCAACGGAGACAAGGAGAGCAGAATTATATATAAAAAATAAAAGTATATAAATCAGTGCAACAGCAGAAATGATGGACACAGGAGGAGGGACTCCTATCAGAGACCAATCCTTCTTTAGCTTTTATCAGGATATCTTTAAATTAGAGTTTTTATCAGGCTTGGAATTTTTTTTTTAAAAAGCTGCAAGGTTTTTGCCCATTGGCACCAATGATTCACAAGGCCTTGACCCAATTCTATTATTATACAGGAAACATGAGTAGAATACAGTCTGAGAAAGCCACTACTGAAATGCAGCTCTTAGCGCTGTGACCCCATTCGACTCTGAGGTTCAGGCAGCCTCGATTTTTGTTGACCTAAATCTACAGAGAGGTTTCACGGTCTTAATCACAGGGAAGGAGGCTCCTCCATCGAGGAGGGGGTTTTTTTGTTGCTGGGAGGGGAGCTATATTGTCCGAAATATTTAAAAAAGAAGAAAGGATGTGAAATTATATTTAATCTGAAAGATCGATCTTCCCAGCAAAGACCCTTCTTTAAGCACCTTCCTGCCCCTGATGTGAAGTTTAGAAAGGGATGAGGATCTTCCCTCGCTCATCTTCAATCCCGTTGTCAATCTTAAATGTTTTTGCTTTTTTTTTATTCCCCTCTCTCTCTCTCCAAGCCCCTGGAGAGGACCTGCACCGCTGGCTTGGGTCTTAAACCCGGATTAAAGCTTTTTATGTAATCTGGTCTCCTCTGGGAGATTGGAGAGACAGCTGGCAGCAGAATCCCCGTCCTTATCTCTCGACCCTCCTCTGGCCTCCGACCAGCATCCCAGCGTAGATTAAAGGATGAATCTACGGCTACCGTTTCACAAAAAAGCATTATTTTCAACATATGTCTGTCTAGGTTAGAGGATATAAGAACTGTACATTACAAAAAGAAAGATGAGGCATTTAGTCTACTAATCAATTTTGATATATTCAATTATTAAACCCTGTGGGGTCACAGTTCATGGCATGTTTCTTTTCCCCAGCACAAACCATGAGTCTTAGGTCCAAGCCTGAAATTTCAGTTTAAGACAGTAAAAAATAAATGAATAATAGAATAAATAAATGCTTTACAGGCATGAAATGCTAAATGATACTTTGGTTTATTTTATTATCATAAACTCAGTATATTTCAGTTTCTGGACTGCTGGTCAAACAAAATGAGAGACGTGAAGCCATGTTCTGCACTTCATGTTGTTAAGGTTTAGGGTTTGGAGTTAATTCATTTCTTTAATGTGAATATTTCCTGCATTTTTATATGAAAATCACCTAAAAAATCTTCTGGTTTTTGTACCTCTCTAATCTCTAGCACCCTGACTCCCTCACTTGGACTTTTATTTCACATATTCACAGCTAACAAAAAGACAAAAACTATTCAACATAACATCTTCCACATAAAGTGATGCCAAAAAGGAAAAATGTACACCCTCTAACAGCTAAAACCCTGAAGAAACTACACAAGTCTTGCACATTTTTACATACATTTTTAAAAAGGGAGTCACATACCGTCCTTTAGCTCAGAGCACCGAATAAAGCCGCCTCATCTGAAATGCGAGGCATCATAAAAGCAGATTTTTTTGCCACGTAACAACTGCGACTCGGTCGACTGAAGGCCTCGACAAACATCTCACCAGCAGGCACAGCTGGTCGGGTCACCGTTTCAAGCAACACTCATTTGAATGATTCACAGCTACAAATGACATCAAGTGATTAGAAATTAGACAGGAAGGCAGCCAGAGAACACATTTAGGGGGTAATATTAATATATATAAATATATATATATATTTATAATTTATATATATATATATATATATATATATATATATATATATATATGTATACACATATATATATATATACATATGCACCCACATATAAAACCATACACACACATATACATATAATATATATATAATTATTATACTAATATATATTATATTATAATTATATATATTCTATATTAATTTAGTGATTATATATTTATATATAATATTATTATATTTATACTTATATATCATAAAATATAAAGTATATATATGATATATATACGTAATATATATAATAATAATGTGATATGTAACTTGAGAGAGAGAGAGAGATAAAACACAGCAATAATGACTGTGATTGGCAGACTGTGACATTAACTGTCTCTGCAGTCAAGGTCAGCCACTTCAGGATCTCTCCCATCCATATTTCTGTCTTTTTCTTGACTGCATTGTCAATCACCAGAATAAATATTCATACTGACTAAAGCAGAGGTTTCTAAAGCGTACTTGGGAAGGTTAACTCGTCTTGTACTTCCTGTCTCTGAATTTGATCTGAAAAAAGGGACATTTCTCTTCTCTCCCCCCCTTTTTTTTCTCTCTCCATCTGCAGTGCGTAACTCTTCTATTCCTCTGATTTATTTTAATAGATTTCCTAATAATTCAGGCTTTCCCTTCTGGAAAAAAAATTGGATTATCATCATTTAAATCTTGTTATATCAGACAATTCTCCCCGTCAAGATATTCCTGATTTATTTATTAGCAGGCACAGTTTCCAGTTGTGGATTTAAAAAAAAAAGAAAAAAAAAAAAAGAAAGAAATCCTGCAGAGCCATGTTCAGGTACATAGCGCCATCTTGTGCGTGCTCTCATCACTGCGAGTCCTCCCTGAGTCATTACATCACTTGTCAGGCAGAATTAGAGGCGATCTGGCTGAAATGGGCTTGATAAAAATAAATATGGCGCTCGTCGTTTGATGGCTCATCTCGTGACTGCGGAGACATACGCTGACCTACATTTCAACTGCTTTTATTGCATTGGATCAGGAGACCACTTATCATTCCATGTCTTCTGTAATATTTGTGGTATTACTGATATATTTAATACCTAAGGGGAGAATAACAAGATGCTCTTCTATTATTTAACCCCTTCTCCCATCTATGCTTCTGTGTGCAGTGGTTACTGGTCATTTTTAAATACAGTTGAGGTATGTGTCACAAAACCTGCACAAAAAAGTTGCAAAATCCAGTTTTTCTTAAAAAAAAAAAAGACAGAGCAGCGACATTAAAACCCTGATAATCTTCCTATAACACCTCTAAGACTATTAAAAACACAGAATTGAGCCACACCGTTGCACTGACCTGTTTCTTCATTATTATGAGCAAATACACTGTTGTTTATTTTCACTCAGTCCCACAGAGACTGAGAGTGGATTAATCCACAGCTAAAAATAGTCGACAACAAATCCAGTTTTGTTTTGCTGCTGTTTGAGTGATGGTTGCTATAAACTGCAGTTCACATCCATTTTGTTAGATTACATCTTTCTTTTTCTTTTACGACATTCCCAAATTTAGTAAGAACAAATTAGGCACACAGTCAAGAAAAATACTGAATGTAACCATGTTTGTAGTATTTTTAAATGTACATTTCCAGGTGATTTTACACAGTCTGCATAATGAGCCGGGTCCCGAAGAGAAGCTCTCATGCAGGCCTACATTTTTATAAAAGCTTAAGGCAAAGACTGTAAATGTTTACAGCTTTAGACTTGCATGGTTTGGATCCATTAAAAAAAACAAAAAGTGCTGCACTGAATCTCTGTCCGACAGCGGCCCCCAGTGGGCCAAGAAGGCACTGCAGTTAGGCTTGTTTTAAATTATGAGTTAATATTTTTAAAAAAGTGTAAAACCACAAAAACTAAGCCATGTCGTTATATTATTACTACATATTTAGTTTCTTATTATGTATGTGTGTGTGTATGTGTGTGTATATATATATATATATATATATAT